TCCACAATAAAGGCATTTTATTCTGTTTTACTTCTCTCTGCACTGGAAAAACCTATCAAACAGTTTCTTTAATTTAATAAGCCCTATCTTTGGCAGGAAAATTGCATTGATCTTGCCTTTGATAATCATTGCTATGGAGACAGGATTAATAATCTTAAACACAGACTGGGTTAGAAACTAGACAAATACAAGTTACAGAAATAACAATCATTTCCCAATTACTTTTATGTGCTGCGCTCTGCAAAAGCGTTGTTTTCTTCAGTTCCCACAAAAGCACTGTGCAAACATTCTACAGTTACACTGTTACATTCCTGTGTTACCAGTGAGATGCCTTAGCGTTAGAGGGATGAAATACCCAACTCAAGGTCACACTAGGAAGTGGAAGAGGCAGGAGAGAACCCAAAATTTTGGACTCCAGGACCTGCGCTCTTAACTTTTGTGGCACATGGCCTGTGTCACTTTCCCAGGGATGCTCAGCCCCAGGCTGGGTGGGTCCAGAAGGCAGGAAGGAAGAATCAAGGTAGAAGACAGGTGTGAGAGGAGGCAGAGAGCTAACTGTGGGAGATGTACGGAGCAGGTGCTTTTATCAGTGGTCTTAGTAAAATCTTTTTTTGAGAGGGGCAAGGCTTTTGCACTAAGGTACATCCCCACTCCTTTTTAAAATTTTTACTTTTTATCTTGAGATAGGGTCTCATTAAATTACTGTGATCCACTCTGGGTTTGAACTTGTGATCTTCTTCTCTCAGACTCACAGAGTTCTGGGATGACAGGCATGCATCACCACACCCAATTTAAAATTGGATTTGATGTAGCTTCTTTGTGGAGCTTTGTGTCAAATACTGATCCTCTAAAAAGTATTGAAATCATGGTGCCACCAGTTCTGTTTTATCATGTGGGCAAAGTTTTGGCCATGGAATGATTTGAACATCAGCAAAACCCTAGAGAAATTACACTATGTCCTTGAAAGGGACTGGATTGGTGTGTATCAAGCAGCTACAAACTAAAACTAAGCTGACGCTTTGGTTTAAAAAGTAAGGATTAATTAACTGACAGAAAGAAATGAAAGAAAACAGCACTGAGACCTGTCATTTATTCATTTAACAGTGAAAGAAAAATCATCGGATTTGCTCAATACCTATAACAAAACCGTACAATTCAAGGCTGCCTTTGGCAGTATGAGCTAATTTGGGGCTTTGTTGGGTTTTTTTAAGAGGAAGAGGGTACAAATGCCTGCGTCAAACTCCCAGTTTTCCATCAGAATTTTTAACTCTGATAGAAGACAATACTTTATGCTCCCAATAAATATCACAATTTGGTACTATGAAATTCATGATAAATAATGGCTTAATTACTGAGACAGCTAATTTTATAGCATGGATGTCTTTCCAAAAAGTTGTATGTGAGTGTATTTCAACAAAGTAAATTCTAAATTGACCAGGAAAAGCAGCTCTTTAAAGAAATACCAGAGGATTCACTTTAAAACAATAGTCATGTATATGTCTACCAACTAATATTTTCCTCCTTTATAATGTGTATTTTTGTGTATGGATTTTGTATTGAATTTTTTTGTACTGGGATTGAACTATGTGTTGAATTTTTAAAATGAAATTTATCTCTTTTAAGGGTGATTGTTTTAAAAAATCAAAATACTCCGTGTTTAGCAGAGTTTTTGATGATATCAATTATTTTTACAGTAAAGGTTAGAGTTTATTCACTGAATGATGACTTGAAGCCAGCCAAAAGAGAAACTGTTTTAACTTTCATAGTAAGTATTTTATGTAAAGAGCACTTCACTCATTTTTCTGGACAAGAATCTCATTCCATAACCTTTTTCTCACACTATGCTCAATTGTTCAATGTTTCGTAAGTGGTTATTAAAGATCAATATGAATATAGCTGTACAGAGCAACACTTCTACAGATAGACATCTGTAAAAACCTCATTAAAATGAAATCTTCGAGTTTGAAGGATTTTGAGCTAAATCATGTAAGTACATCCTTGGTAATTTCTTTTTTAAAGAACACTCAGCAACCAATAAAAAGTAATTGAGTATGTATTGTGCACAAGATTTTTTATTTGTATAACTTTAGGTAAATGATGCAATCCAGAGGCTGAGGCAGGAGGATCGAGAGTTCAAAGCTAGCCTCCACAACTATGCAGACAAAACAGAGTGAGATGAGGGCAGATATAATTCTTTTCTGGAATGGAATAAGTGAAGGAATCCTTGAGCTGGGTCCTAATGAAAGGAAGTGATGTAGCTTCTTTTAAAATAATGAAGGCTATCTTTCATCAGAAATAGCATGAGTTCATCTATGGGAACAGGAAGAAGTAAAAAATTAGAGTCATTAAGAAAATAAGAAAAGTGGCTGAACAATAGAAAGTTTAGAAAAGAGCTAAGCAGAGGGAAGATCAATCAGCTCAAACGCTCTTTCCCTGTGGGAGAATGCCACAGGTGTGGACATCTACTTTTTAACCCTTGTCGCCATGGTTGAACTTGAGTGAAGGGCAACCCTGGCATCACAAGCAGAAGAATAGATGCCAGTCATCCCGTATCTCAGGGAGAAGGCTGGGGAAGCGGATCCCAGAGCCACAGGACTCAGTATGTAGGAAGCACCCTGAAACTTACTTGAGAAAAATCATCTTAAACAGACTGTGCACCTTTGACAATGGGATGCAGAGCAGCTAGGAAGATATCTAGCTGCAAGTGCCATTCCTTGTTCAAAATAGGCTCTTTTAAGTTTTACAGTTTGTAATTCAAGAAAAAAAATATACCTTAAAATCCATAGTGGGAATTTTAAGTCATGGCAAATGGTGCTAAGTTCTTTTTCTAGCTAAGGCTAAACTAGACTTCCACATCTAGTTCAAAGAAGGTCAAAACCTCATCTTCATATTTGCTAATCCAGACACACAGTGGCGCATGTGGAAAAGCTTTATGAGTGCTTTCAAGTTTACTTAGCCATTTAGAGAGTTGTATCAGGCTCAAAATGTCCATACCGTATATTTATCCAGTGTCTAGCTGAAAAATACAGTTTAGAGAATATTCGTTTTGGACAGCTTTAAAGCAGCATATAAAAAAATTAGATTCTGATATTTATAAAGCCTGCTAATTTTACATTAGTCTCATTAAAACCATCTGGGTCACTTAATTGTTGTTGTTTCCATTTTGTTATACTTCTTTTTAAAACTTGCACAAGACAGTGGAACTTCTGTACAATGAGGGAAATGGGAGAGATTTTGATAAGGGGAAAGGAAGGTGCCTTAAGGGAACTTTGTCTTCTATAACATTTAATTGAATTTTATTGTTCTACTTTTAAATTGAAGGTGTATTTCTTCGTAAAAAGTTTGTAAGTCAAAGATTATATAATCAGTTAAATTTTTAAAAAGGTGCTATGCTTTGAAGGCTGATATATGGGTTGAATATCCTCTCCTTCACCCCTCAGATTCAGTTCTGTGTTAAAATCTTAACTCCCATGCAGCAGTGTTGGAGGTAGGACCATGCAGGAGGTGTTTAATTCACGGGTTTCCATCCTTATGGATAAGCTAAGGGAGCAAGTGAGCTCTCTGGAGTAGTTTTGTCCTGAAGGCAAACTCTCCCTTGGGCTTGCTTGCCCTTCCACTATTCACCCATAGGATGAAGCAGGACCAGGGCCCTGCCACATGCCAACACCATCCTTTTGGACTTCCCAGACTCCAGAACCATGTGTCAAAATAAACCTCTGCCCTTTATCAGTTACCCACCCTCGGTATTCTTTCATAGCAATAAACAATGACCTAAGATAGGGTCCTTTGTTTTTATTCCAAGGATCCTGAAGGATCAGAAGTTGACACAGTAGAAGAAAATGATCACACTGGAATTATCTCTTTTCCTGACTTCAAGATTCCACCCAATCCTAAGTATGTACAAGTAATTTGTTAATAAAGTTTTCTATAGAAAGTTTTTCTGACTTCCGGTTGTAAAGCAGATAAATGGTCACACGGAGCCGCCCAGTGTTAAGAAAGGGTGTCACAGGTGTAGATGTATAAAACCTTTTAAAGCCTAGTAAGAAGGAAGGCGCTGTTCTTGGCCAAATCAATCAGTAGAAAAAAGAAAAACAAGTTTCCGACAGTAGATTTCAGCTAACTCTGCGTGGAGTGCGTGTATTCCCTCCTCCTTGAGAGGCTGAGGCAGAACCGTGTGAACCCGGGAGTTTGGGATCAACTTGGGCACCATAGTGAGACCGTGTCTCCAAAAACAAAACACAAAACATCCCAATACTTGTCACCTCTTCTCTTTGCATATAAAAATAAAAATGGGAAAGAAGCAAGAAATAATCCCTGGGCTTCTTTTCATTAAAACCATGAACTTCTGTCTCTGAAGAAATCTGATCGACTGTTTTTAAAAGGCTGGTCCTTGCTCTGGGTGGTAGGAAATAAGGTCCTCTGCAGTTTTCGTTTGCATGCACTCCTAGAAGGCTCTATCCAACTGTGTTTTCAGGGCCATTTCTTCCACTGGCCTCATGCGAAAGGATTTAAAAGCATGTTTTAAAAGGATTCGCTGTGATATGTATTTAATGAACACATTCCTATGTCTCTAGATGTAGGATCTGAGAGGGGAGAAATAGAGTTAAAGCACCCACAGTCCCTGCTTTCACGGAGCTTAAAATAGAACGGGATAAACAGGACCATGATCTCTGCAAATGAATGCAATATAATTCAGTGCCCACCATTTTATGGTCATTTTTCTCCTGATGTGCAGGAGGGAGCTTTTAGTTAATTCGTTATACTAAATTTTGCTAACACTTTGGGTTGAAACTGGGGAATGTATATAATTGGAGGAATTTAAAAACTGTATACTTTTTAAAGAATCCCATGTGCTTTCTAGTGCAGACCTGGACCTAGTGTTCCACTGCTGTCATCTTCTCCAACTTCATCTTGAGCCACTTGCCCCACGACAGACTCCGGATCAGCCGTGGAGTCTGTCACGAGGCGGACTATCTCGCCTCCTTACCTGTGCACCTGTTGGTCCTCTGCTTGGGATGGGTTCCACCGTGCTCATCTCAGGGGATGCGCTGCCTTTGCAAAGAGGCAATTCTGAGACAAAGTCTAGGGCAGCCCCACACTTACTTTTCCTCTCTGTCTCAGCCTCTTGTGTATTTGCTTCCTGACACTTCTTCCAACGGTGTAATTGTTTTTTAATTTGCTTGCCTTTTTATCGCCCCACTAGATTGTAAACTTCTTGAGGGCCAGGGGCTTTGTCTGTATTTTCATTGTTATGTTTCAGCACTTCAACATAGATGGTACTTGGTCAATACCTGTGGATTGAGGATGATGATGATGATGATGATTTTAATGTTAACACAACTGTAATGGAGGGATTCCTCTACATGTTCATTATTAGTCCATTAATATGAATGATTTCAAAATAAGAATATTTTAGACCACCAAATAAATATATTAGGGATTTGTGAATTCAAAGGAAAAGAGCACTGGATAAGAAATAAAGGTAATTAATATATAAATAACATGTTAGCCAGGTGTGGTGGCACATGCCTGTAATCCTAGCACTCAGGAGGCTGAGGCAGGAGGATTGTTGTGACTTTGAGACCAGCTTGGGCTACAAAGTGATCTCAAGACCAGCCTGAACTATACAGGGAGATCTGGCCCAAAAAGACAAAAAAATGCTAGTTATTAACATATCAATAATAATCTATTAGCATTAATAATATAATATTAGCATTAATATTAATAATATATTAGCATCATGACAGCATTAATAATTAATATCAGCATTAATAATGATAATATTAGTCAATGAATATTAATATTAATAATGATAATATTAGTCAATGACTACATAACCAATCTGCTTGGTAGGTATTATTTTTCTGATTTCACAGATGAGGTGAATTCACTTGCCCAGGTCAAATGTGGTGATAAGTGGAAAAATGGGCACTTGAACTCCCATGGAGTGCTAGCTCTATTCAGAAAGACCGTGGCCTTTCTGTCTTGTTCATTTTTTATTTCTAGTATTTATTTTAGTGCTCAGTAACTATTTTTGAGTGAAGGCTGTTATCTCCCTCTTTAAAAAAAAAAAAACCCATACTACTTTGTCTTCAATCAGAATTTCATTTATGTGAGGTGTAAATCTTATCACCCATATTACATGTTTCTAGAAATATTATGATGGATTTTCTACTATATTGTTGATTTTAGTATTAGGCTATCACAATTAAACTGCAGGATTAAGTCAATTCTCAATTTATCATCAGTTCTTCAAATCCAAGCTAAATTGAAATAAAATACCTAGAAAAAGCACACTGTATCTGAAAAACCTAACTACTGAACAATTTCTGTTATCCTAAAAAAGCTGAATTATTTGTATTATTGCTTAAAGTCTCTCACAAGTAAAATATTTCTTTGGGCTATATCTCTTTAGAATAGAAATTTAGCCTGGCATGGTGACACACACCTGTAATCCTGTTAGGATTATGACACACACTCAGGAAGGTGAGGCAGGAGGATTGATGTGAGTTCAAGAACAGCCTGGGCTACATAGTGAGTTCAAGGCTGGCCTGAACTACACAGTGAGACCAATAATAAATAAATAAGTAGGAATTTATTGTATTTCTTCTGTGTAAAGTAAAAAATATTTGATGACACCTACAATTTTAAATATTTTGTTTTCACAGATATGGTGTGTGGGCAATTAAAGCTAAATATAAGGAAGTTTTTTCAACAAGTGGAACCACCTACTTTGAAATTAAAGAATATGGTAATTTTTGACAATTGCAAGTTTGCCTATTGCAAATATTTTTGCAATAGTTTCTTTCATGAAGGTATCTATTGTAAAATCATCCCCAGCTGAAGAGGAGGCAACATTCTGGTATGGTTGGAAGTACTGGCTAAGGGTGGGAAGGTGTTGGTGTTGGTTTGAATGCTTAAATTCTAGATCCGGCCAGCACATGCTAACCTTGAGGAATCCACCAACCTCAATGGACTTGTGTTCCTGGTCAGAGATCTGGGAGAGATCTAATCCCCCATGAAGCGTGACTTGTTAAGGTCTTCCCTACAATTAGGAATTTAGGAGAAACAATCAGAGATGAGGTGAATGAGTAGTAAAGGTGATTAAGGGTGAAGTGATTCATAGCAGATTTACAAACAGGGACAGAACAAAGACAGCTGAGTTTTCTTAGCCAGGACCCAACCCTGATTTCTTTCTAGCTCACAAGTCCCTGAAAATCATTATGAGCCACGACAATTTAGGTTATTCTTCTTTTGAAATCAGTCATATTAACTAATAATTAGCATACAAACAATCTTTCCACTGCGTGTAGTAGTTTACAATGGTCCCTGTGTGCTCTACTATCAAATTTATCTTTCTTATTTTTGCAGTCATTTTTATTCTTGAGAGATACAAAATGATGGGGAGAAAAATAAATACTTAACACACATTTTAACAAATAACAAGGAAAACAGTGACAAAATTTTGTTTAAAAAGAAACTCAACCTTAAAGATAATAGGTTGTGTAATCTATTACACATAATGTGTAATCTAACTGGCCTCCCTTCCTCTGGGGCTTTTGCTACTTTCCCTGTACCTCTAGTTAGTCCACCCTCATCCCCAGCAGCTGCCCCATTATTCATCACGCGGCTCCCTCCTGCACCACTGCAAAAGCCTCCTTGTTGCTCTCTGCTGCCAAGCTGCGACACTGGCACTCTTGTATGAGCCAGAATAATTTTGAAATGCGAGTATCATTTGTGTTTGAAAAATCCCCAATAGCTCTGATAACGAGAATCAAAATCTTTATGTTGAGCTGGTCCCTGCCTGGCTCGCCTTCAGCCTCTTTTTATAACACTCATCTCCTCACTTACCTGCAGCACACACGGTTCTCTCGGCCTCCACTTCCTTGTTTACTCCTTGCCCAGCCAGGTTCTCAGGTCTCAGGTCTGAGCTTGAAAGCCGTTTAGACCACTTTCCCTGAATTCTCTTTCCTGGGTAGGATCCACTGTACTTCTTCATGTCAATATTTGTCATTATACTTAATGTTGTATAATTATTCACCTATGGCTAGCTTCAGTTATGTCTACCTTGTTCACTAGTGTAGCGCTCTTGGTAGGCAGGTGTCCAGTAGAAGGATGGAATAATTCTCTGTGCCTCATTTCCTGGAGAGAACACTCCTGCCTTGGTCTTCAATTACATAGGAACACAGTCCAGGAAGAAAATTGCTTTGATTTTTCACTTCTAGTTCTCACTATTTTAAAACCTATGAGCCATAGGTGAAGCCAGCTATCTCACTCAATGTATCACACTTTGTCTACAACATCAGGCTCATCCAATGAACTAATTTTCTATAACTATAGAGTAGGTTATTAGAATCTACTGCCGTTGGGGCTGAGGATTCAGCTCAGCGGCACAGCACCTGCCTGGCAAGCGCAAGGTTGTGAGTTTGATTCCCGGTACCGGAAAAAAACCAAAAAAAAGAATCTACTACCGCCTTTATACATAGTCTGAGTTAGTGGTACCTCAATTCACAAACTTAATTTGTTCTACAATTTTAGAAAAGATGGCCATGTTTCTGCTTATGTGGGAAAGATGACCACAGTCATGTTTGTCACCTGATGCAGACCTTGCAAACAAAAACAAAATTTTGCTAAATGTTTCTGTTTTCAAACCAAACTGTTTGCAAACAAAAGCATTCATAAACCAGGATAACACTATATAAAGAACAGATGGTACCATTTCAATAGATTAAATTACTTTCTCTTGGGCCATCAAGGACCAAAGATAGAAAAAGCCCACAACTTCTTTTGGCCTAATTTTTAATTCTGCTTTGATACACTTTCTTTTATCCTATTTTAAGATTTCTCTTTTTAAAAATCATTGTTAAGATTTTATGCTGACACTTGAATGGATATTTATCTACCAGACAAAAAAAAGAGAATACTAGATAAGCTAGAATTCTTCTTTTTTATCTTCAGTTTGATAAATTCTCATTGAACATCTACCATGCTTAAGATTTATAGAAGAATGAGAGGATGAGATATACCAGGAAAAATAGAGAATAGTCTTTTTTTTTGTTTCTTAAGGAATCCACATTCTAGTGAAGTAATCTATTGCCCATAGTAAATACCATAATAAAAGTATAAGCCAAATATTGCTGGCACATTGAGGCTGGGTTGATTCTGACTGCTGGAATGGAAAGTCTCCTCAGAAGTGATGGGCTGATAAAGAAGAAGAAGAAGATGATGATGATGATAATGACAGTGATGATGAGGTGGATGTTGTGCTGATGCTACAGCTTGTCCATCTCTACCAGAGAAAAGTACCTTCTTGCTGTTTTAAAGGCTACTCTAATTTAAATGATAATATTGCCTCTTCATTTCTATTTTCAGTTTTGCCACATTTTTCTGTTTCAATAGAACCAGAAAGTAATTTCATTGGTTATAAGAACTTTAAGAATTTTGAAATTACTATAAAAGCAAGGTAAGAAAGTTTTATTTTGTTTTTCAAGCAAACCAGCTAAATTGGTGATGATTGCTCAATGTGAGATCTGTGATTTATTAGCATAATCTGCCATGACTGTGGAACAGACTTCAAAGTCTGTTGAGGAGACTTCATGCGAATACTGCGGTTTATGTCCTCATTCTAATTTTAGCTTTGTTGGTTATTCACCAGTAAAGAAAAATCCTGAAGACTTAAGTTCAGTGTGTATGTTCAGCGTAACTTAGGATACTGAGACTAAAATATGAAATCTTCTTTTCATTTTTAAAATTCTTTAATCAGCTAGCAAATGCTGTGTCACTGTTTCAAAACCCAGTGCTTTAAAACCACAAGCATTTATGAGTTAACTTGGTAGTTCTGCTGATGTGTGCTAGGCTGATAACAGCTGGGGTCAGCCAGGCGCCTGCAGTCAATAGGCAGATCCATCTGAGGATGTCTGATCCAGCGGGGGTCGTATTCACATGTCTGGCAATGGTTGACAGTTGACAGGGACTAAGTGACTGGACTAGGTGTGTATCTCATCATCCAGAAGGCTGTCCCAATAGAACAGCAATGCTGGGATTTGGGGAGGGGGAGGGAGAGGGAGAGAGAGAGAATGAGTTAAATTCTCCTTAGACCTTGATACTTAGTACTGGCACAACATTCTTTCCAGCACATTCTTTTGTCCAAAGCAAGTTACAAGGTCACCCCAGACAAAGTAGATTCCTCTCATACCTTTTGCATGCAATGAATTGCAAAGGTTGTTGCACATGGAATGGTAGACAATTGGGGTTAATTTTGTAACCAAGTTGTTACAAAATCATAGGCCAATTAAAAATGATATCAAACAGTTGTTGATAATTAATTTATGCAATTGCACTTCTAAGAACTGCCTCTATTAGCACATTTAATTATCACAACCCTGTGAGGTAGATATTATGACTATCCCCACAAAACAAGTGAAAACACTAAGTTACATGAATTGCACATAATTTGTTCAAGATGTCAGAGCTAGGATGCCTGTCTGCTCACGGAGCGGAGTCCCTCCTTCCCTATTCTTCCTCTTCTGTAAGCATTTATTCTGCAACTGGGACGTTCATCATTCAGCCCACACCAACATAAAAGGCTCACTTGAAAGAAGCTGACACCTTGTAATGGAGACAATTTATTTGTTCAACCCATTAGTAAGAAAAGTTAGCTTGTGTTATAGTTTTGCTTCGCAGAAAGTATACTTTGTTCTAAATGAGAAAGGAAACATGCAGTCCAGATTGTTTTTTCAAAAGAACTAAGCCCATGTAACAGTGAGGTCAGGCATGTTCCTTTTAAAAACATAAAAGATAATAAGGAGTCGCTCCCCACTGATATCAGAATCATCTAGGAAGTAATGTTGGCTTCAGGAAAAGGGCCCTGGAGCTGTGCCTTTTGATCTCCCCAAGATTACCTCTTTCATCTTCCACATCGTAATAAGAATCCACACTCTAACTTTCTTACTGTGGCTTTATCAGGAAGAAGTATAATAGCAGCTGGAGTATACAATGCACTTTAAGTAAATTTAAATTGTCACATCTTATCTGAGCTTATTATTGCACCCGTGTCAACAGAATGATGTTATGGTATGGTATTGTTTGACAGGTATTTTTATAATAAAGTAGTCACTGAGGCTGATGTTTATGTCTCTTTTGGAATAAGAGAAGATTTAAAAGATGACCAAAAAGAAATGATGGAAAAAGCGATGCAATACAAAGTGGTAAGATGTTTAGACGTAAAGATGACGGGAGGATGAACAGTTACTCCAAACCTTCTCATTCAGTCCCTTATCCTATATAGGTGCAAAGTTGAAGGTTAAAGTCTTCCACTGGTTTCCCGTTTCTTTACCTTAGGATAAAGGCTCCTTTCCTTGGCATCAGCGTCCCTTGCCAACGTCTCTCATGCTATTGCCTCTCATCCTGATTAATATCGTCCTCCAGGTTCTCAAACCAACCAGAGTTTGTCTTCCTCCAGGTCTTTATTCTTTTCCTCTGTCCCCTCCTGCCTCATCTTTGTCTGATTAATTTTTTCTTGCTCTATAAGTTTCAATGTTGACACCTTTTCTCTGTAACACTTTCCTGATTCCCCTGAACTAGGTTAGCTTCCCCAGCTTTCCATCTCATAGGCCTCAAGACTCTCTTTATTAGCGCATCTGTCACATTTTCTTGTGGTGGTTGTTAACCAGGGATGATTACCCGCAAGGGGATTTGGCAATGAGTAATCTGTGGGTGTCACAGTGGGGGAGAAGGATGCTACCGGGATTTAGTAGAGGCAAGATTGCTGCTAAACCATTACCATACACAGAAAGCACCCTCTCACACACAGTGAGGAATTACTCTGTTCAAAACGCCTGTAATGCAGAAAGTAAGAAACCCTTCTTTACTGGAATTGCCCGCTTTCCTATTTATCATTTTAACCTTAAACTCTTTACACTTGTAAATCATTTCCATTATATGCCCAGAGGGAGCACATTTCCTCCCAAAGAGTAGATGCTCCGTAAGTATTTCTCAAGTCACTTGTCCATGGTTAAGGGCAGTGATTGGTGTTACTGAGATCAGAGCCCTGGCCCCTTCCTCCTTGAGAGCGCACTTTATATTATACCACAGGTGATATGAGTTCATGTCATTTTGCATAGTCCTGTATTTTGTGTCATCAGTTTATTTACCCTCTGCTTTTTAAAAAGACAGCCATATTTACTGATGACATAAGTTAAAGGTCTGTTTTTAAATGCAAGATTCTACTCGACATAAATTTAAAGCTAAATTAGGACGAGGAGTGTATAGTTCACCGATAGCATGCAGGTGTGGTGTGTGTGAGGCCCTGGGTTTCAGTCCCCAGTGACAAAAATGTAAAAGGCAATAAAAATAACTGAATAGGGCCATGGATATAGCTCAGTGGCATAAGTGCTTGTCTGGCAAGCCTGAGGTCATGAGTTCGATTCCCAGTACCAAAAAAAACACCTATAAGCTAAATCAGAAAAAAAAAAACCCTGGACTCAGGTTCATTAATTTTTAGAGTGAAAATAAGGCAGAAATCTATTTTTAATAATTTAATAATATAATATTACCTAGCATTAATCCCTTTATTTCCTGTAAATTAAATTAGTGTTTTAATTTGTAAACAGTAAAGCACAAATTAAATATAAAATCCAATAAACTCTTAGTTAAGGTCAGAAGTAGCATGACAGCCCCACAAAGGTGATGATGCATGGGAAACTGGAAAAGACATCTCTGTCAGCTGGTACCAGAGACCTGCTGGGCCATGTTATGTTCAAGACTCTTCTACCACTATAATTCTGTACAAATAAATTAGAAAATAGCATCCTGGGGCTTCACCATGGACATGGAATCCGCTGCACTGGTGATGCTAAACCAGTTCTCTGACATTTGCCCTCAATGCAGAGGCTAGTCACAGCAGATATGGTTAGTCTCCTTCCTTATATGTTCTTCTCTAAAGTAATCTTTCCATTTTTCCCTTTTAAAAAGTTGGTAAATGGAATTGCTCACGTCACATTTGATTCTGAAATGGCAATTAAAGAACTGTCATATAACAGCTTAGAAGATTTAAATGACAAGTACCTTTATATTGCTGTAACAGTTGAGGAAGCTACAGGTAAGGCGTGTGTTTGTGTGTGTGTGTTAAACTTTCTTTTAAGAAGTATCAGCGTATCAATGATGTAAATGATTTCTAGTGGTTTTTTGTATGTTTGTTCTTATTTAAATGTTACTTTTTATATCATTAAAAACTTGGATTAGAGCAGAGCTCTGCCACTATGTAGGCATTGGGAAGGCTACTGGGTCCTTATTACCTCAACTCCAAAAATGGAATGACACTACGCAGTTGGTATTCCAAGTGGCTCTGCAGCCAGCTGCCTTGACATCTGTCACCCTGGTGTTCTCACCTGAAAAGAATCAAAATCCAAATGAGATTATGTAGGTAAAAATGTTTGATATTGTACTGTGCAATTGTAACCTACTATTCTTATCACTGTTCTGGTCACCTTTTCTGTGCAATGATGCAACTGAACTAAATGCTTTCTAAAGCCCTCTTTTAGGTGTGAAATTAAGGGATTCTATCTAAAAATTAGGTAATCATGTTTCTAAAGTGAGTACAATAATAGTATTCAACTCACAGTCTTTTTTTTGTTTTGGTTTTGGTTTTTCTCCGGTACCGGGAACCAAACTCACGACCTTGTGCTTGCCAGGCAGGCGCTTTTGCCGCTGAGCTAAATCCCCAGCCCCTCAACCCACAGTCTTAAAGTGGTTATCAAAGAGTGAGCATATGCAAAACACTTAAGCAGTATCTGTCACACACTGAGTGCTGTGTATTGGCCAATCTCTTTTTCTTCTCTTCTTCCTTTCTTCCTCTGCCCTTTTCTTTCCCAAGGGCCCACTGTTACTTTCTTAGCATACATAAGCTTGTCTAGTTTTGCTTGTCAACTTTTTAAAAACTCATGCCGATGGTTTTAAATAGTCATTAATTCCTACTGCAAGCCAGGTCAATTTTCTTATGCCCAGTATAGCTTCATTACTAATATCATGTTTTGAGGTTTATGTTGAACTCCTGACTAATCTTGAATACATAGTTTAACGATGCTGACCCTAATTTGGGGGGGGGTGTAAAATAACAGATGGTTTCTAAGGCCCCTTTCACTCCTTTAAGTTTGTCCTTTCATGGTGACAGAATGGAGACGCAGGCTTAGTTATCCAGTCACTGAGCACTTTGCATAAACCCGTGCTCAGTAGATATGGAGAGTGATGGTGCCTTCCACTCCTTGCCTAGCTGTGGTTTTCAACGTTACTTTAATATTTCTTTCTCACTTTTGCTCCTCAACTTAGTTCCAATAAATTCAGCTTCAGCAGAATTTATGAGATTTTTCAGAGCATTGTTCAATACACAGGCTTACAAATATGAATGACCCCAGCACACAAGGGACTTATAAACTAGCATCAGGTTTAAGACAGTAAACAAAGAACCCTATTCTTGAAGCAAGAGCTTAATGCTATAGATCTTCAGGGAAAGGTAAGCTTCTGATTGTCGATGTCGCATAACCGGGAATAGCGTTGTGAAGATGATCAGTGCAGGAGGCTTTGAAGGCAGGGCTAAAACACAGAGTGACGCAGCCCTTCCTCTACAGCAAAAAGGGGGGACACTGAAGCTTGGTCTTTGAGAAGAGCAGTTTTGCTGCAGCACAGGGAATGTGTAAGAACTGTTGCAGATGTAATACTGGGAAGGAGTCTGAGGCTTCCAGAACTTCATTGGTTATTCTTAATGTTTACCTTGGTTTTTAGCCACAGGATTATGACATCATTGTGATTTCACTCATGGACGCTTAGGGTTCTCCCTTATCAAGTTCTGATTGTTCTCCATTTCTCTCCACATTCCTGCAACCTAACTGGGAAGACACATAAGGCTCAAGCTCTGGCGTACCTCATTTCCTCTCCTCACTCTTGAACCTATGTCTATGGAGACATAGCTTCCATGTAGATACCAGGTACATCATTACATTGCTAAAAGTGACAACATGATGCTTATTGTTTCTTTAGGTGGATTTTCTGAAGAGGCAGAATTACCTGGCATCAAATATGTCCTCTCTCCCTACACACTGAATTTAGTTGCTACTCCTCTTTTCTTGAAGCCTGGGATTCCATATTCCATCAAGGTATGGGGGTGGGAGGTGGGAGGAGGCTGCTGAATATGCTCAGCTTTTTCTATATATTGAAAACATGGAGGAAGGAAATGGGAGAGAGGTCCTAGAGAGGCAGTCACAGAGGGAACGTGCCTGCCCTCTTGGGGATGATTTGTGCTTCTATGGCACATGCTGGTACTCAGTAAGAGAGCCTTGTGTTAGGAATTCCCATTACATTATGTGTAAATAAAACCTCCTGTGTCCACAAGGCAAAAGCTAATAACATTTAATATTACTTGGAGGCAAGTAGTCTTAATCTAGAGACACCACTTCTTAAAAATAGATCCCTCTCCTTCTCACTATTTTTTTAACCTCTAGAGAATCTCTGAGTATGCATTTCTGTGTTTTTCTGCTTTGTCTCTGCATTATTTGTGCAGATATCTGGTCTCTTGTCTGTTTCTCTTGTTGCCCTCTGTCTTTTCTATTTTACATCTTTTTTGCTTCCTTTTTCCTCTTCATTTTTTATTTGCATCCTCCACTTTTGTTTTTTTTGTTTTTTGTTTTTGTTTTTGTTTTTTGTTTTTCTCCGGTACCGGGAACCGAACTCACGACCTTGCACTTGCCAGGCAGGTGCTTTTGTCGCTGAGCTAAATCCCCAGCCCCCATCCTCCACTTTTGATTTGAAACATCCATTTAATTGATTATATTTTATTATATTTATTATTCTATTAAATATTTCAATATAAATTATATTATATATTTTATTACATTTATTAAGTGGAAATTTTTATTCCCTGCCCTTAGTTTAGAAAGCCTAGAGGTTTATGGTTATTTCTTATTCTTTGAAAACATGTTACTTTTAAAAATCAGTTTAAGGGGTTGGGGATGTAGCTCAGTGGCATAAGCGCCTGCCTGGCAAGCGCAAGGTCGTGAGTGTGATCCCTGGTACAGCAAACAAAACAAAAGAAAAAAAAAAAAACTAAACTAAAAATCAGTTTAAGTAGCTGGGTGTGGTGGTACATGCCTTATATAAGGGACTTGAGACCCTTGGCTATTGCGATTGATGAGGGGTCCTGGAGCCAATTCCCCATGGACACTGAGGGATGATTGTAGCTACTATATGTCATTTATTACTTACAGTGGATCCCTGGCTTTTAAGAGAAAAAGATTTGCTAAGCACGAAGTAAGCTTTGGATATGCTTTTAACTTCTTACATACAAATATGCAATATACACACAAATATACATGTTATTGTATATGCATGCAAATACGTAATATATACTACATATAGTATCATGCAATGCATATAATGTAGTTATATATAATATAACATATAAATGTATAATATATGTATACATTTATGTATAATGTATACATATACATGTATTATATATATAAATTTGAAATATCTTTCATATAACTTTATATCTAAAATATAAAAAGATATATTTGTGGAAATTATAGATATTATATATGAGTCATATATATGCATGGTGAGAGGTAAAGATAAAAAAGAAAATATATCTATTTCTTTTTCCTCACATGAAAAAGAATCATTACCAGAAGCAATTGCTTCATTTTCTCCTTTACTCCAGGCTAAGACAATTAAAGAAACATTGACATTAGGTAGCAGATCTTGTCACATCTCTTAGGCTGACTTATTAGAATGATATTTATGTCTGAGTCTGATGTATAGATGAAATCACCCAATTAAGAAGCGTTAAACTAAACAGAATTGAACCTTTGTTACAAGCTGACAACACACATCCCCTTAATGAATTACATTTTGCTGCACAGGAAGGAGAACTACTTCAGAGCTGTTATGCTTTAAAAGACATGATGAGTTTGTTGAAATGGATTTGAATTGTTCTGCAAACAGGTACAAGTTAAGGATTCACTTGACCAATCGGTAGCGGGGATCCCAGTCATCCTGAACGCACGAACAGTCAACGTGAACCAAGAAACTTCTGACTTGGAACCAAAGAAAAGTGTAACGAGTCTCAGCCATGGAGTGGCTTTGTTTGTGGTTAACCTCCCATCTGGAGTGACGGCGCTAGAGTTTCATGTGAGCTGAGTTCTCCTGCTGTCTTCTCTAGGACGATGTGTACTCTTGCCTGTGTGTTTTGGCTAGTGGGCAGAACTGACGTGGCAGCGTTTATAAATGAGTCCGGCAAACTCATTTCGGAAAAATGAGTACCGGAGAAAATCTCCTAATCTATGGATTGACCCTTAAGGAAGACAAACCTATCAATTTTTGTTTGAGAATTAAGTGTTTTACACCAATAAGACTGAATTATTTGGAAATTTCAATTTAAGTATGACTAAGAACAATGGTAGGAATCTCCCCCACCCCGCACGCACACATTTTTTTATCCCCTCTCAGAACCACAAGAGGGTCTATTGTGGAGTCCTAGCTTTTCTCCAGTACACAGACCACTCTACCTTACAGCTTATTAATTGTCTTCTCTTCTAGCATGTAGTATTTGCATTCCCAATCTCAAATAAAATGTAAGTAGGTTAATCATGCAGATCAGTGAGTGCACCATAAATGTATATATATATGTATATATATATATTTTTTCACTATCATCCACCAAGAACTTACTAAATAAATACTTAGGCACTGGGCCATGAGCTTTATTTTTTTGTTTTTTTGTTTTGTTTTGTTTTGTTTGTTTTTTTTCCAGTACCAGGAATCGAACTCATGACCTCACACTTGCCAGGCAGGCGCTGTGCCGCTGAGCTAAATCCCCTGCCCCTGCCATGAGCTTTATAACTAACACATTTAATACCCACTTCATCAGCAATATGAGTTAGCGAATATTACCTCTGGCCTTTTGTGGCTGAAGAAACTGCAGCTTCTAACCTCTCTTTCAATTAAATAACTTCTTCAGACAACAAGCGTTGGCACCGGAACACAAACCAATGCATGTCTGACTTCAGACCACAGGCTAATAACCTTCCTGCGTCCTAGAAGCAGGTATTACTCCCATGTTATCATACGTGCCCTACGCCATGTTTATACTCACTCCTCAGTGTCACCACGTCACGATGGTCCCCATCATGTTCATTCATAACCCCCTTCACTTCAAGAGTTAGAGCTACCTCTGCGCCACTGCCCTTCTCATACCCTCAATTCCTGCATCCCATCCCCTAGGAAGAGAGCGTCGCATGATGTTTCAGGAGGAGTGTCAGCTTTTGTTTCTGGAGCATCCCTCTGTCTTCATCAGACTTCTCCATCGTAGCTCATAATCCTGTTATTATTTTCCATGGTTTTATAATGTTACTTGATCACAGCAATGCAAACACTGGTGTGATGGAGTTTTTTTGTCTGTAATATTATAAATACTATATAGTGTAAAATTTAGAAAAAAACTTTTAAGGCAGAGAATTTAAATAATATGTTTTACAAAGAGTGTTACTTACTGTCAGTGTGTGTTTTTGAAAATTTCCTTCCCAGGTCCAAACTGATGCCCCAGATCTTCCAGAAGAAAATCAGGCCCGGGAAGATTACCGAGCTGTTGCATACTCGTCTTTCAGTGAAAGTTACCTTTATATTGATTGGACTGAAAACTATAAAGCTTTGTTTGTGGGAGAACATCTGAATATCATTGTTACCCCTAAAAGTCCATATGTTGACAAAATAACTCACTATAATTACTTGGTAAGTTCAATAGTTATAGACTTACATCTTATCACTCACTGTTCCTTTGCTTTATAGACAAACAATAGAATGATTCCTTACATTTGCATTTATAAAACACTTTCAAGGACATTATATATTTTAATATCAGCTTTTCAAAATTGACCAAAAGCATGATTTTTATGGCCATGAGGAAACTAAGGACAAAAAAGTTTCAGGACTCACCAGTCTCAGTCAGTTCAGAAGAAGATTTTGATTTGAACTGAGGACCTCTGACTCTTGATATAATAACTCCTTCCACCAAAAAAGGCCTTTTTGAATCACATCCCCTCTGCTATGTTACACGCCTAAACATTATAGGCCTACATCTACTTCAAAAATGTGCATTCCATTGGCGTAAGAGAAGGGACTCAAATCCTGCTCTAAAGAATTGGGTCATACTAAACCTGCTCCAGTTCTACACTCAGCAGCAATTACATTAAACAGGAGGTGGATCAATCAAACCTGTGAACCTTAGAAAAGAATGTGCAAATAATGTCAAGAACTTTCCACCATGTGTCAAAGAAGTGGACTGAATTATTCCAATGGCCAGGCCAAATAGGTGGTGGTGACTTTTTCCACATTTTTGAAGAAGAAAATGAAAAAATAAATGAGGACCATAGAAAAATACTGATTGATGAAACGTAGAGACACTATGGACTACATAAAAAACCATGTATGCAGTCCCACTCTCTAAGGACAATTTAAGGGAGCCTTGCAGACATTTTGGCTTTGTGTGATTTTATTTCCACCTTAAACTTCTGATTTAGAATCCAACCATGGCTTTAAAATTTAATCCTCAAATAAGATACACTCTACTTATTCATCTAGTTTTTATAAATCAATCAATCAATACAAAGGAGGTTTTAATGACAGTACATGGCTTTAAGCGGTTCTGGGTTCAAATTTGAGCTCTTTAATTTCCTACTTACATGATTTTGATCTAAAATCAATGTGGCTTTTGGTGAGTTGCTGAGGCTCAGTTTCCTCAGTGGAGGTGACTATTCCTACCTCACTAGTATCTTGTGGAATAAATAAATGTTAAAGTTCCTGGCAAATATTAGGAACAAATATGCAAGTTAACTTTATTTTTCTTTAACATAACTGTTGCTCCAGCTCCCAGCTTCATCCTGAAGCACAGCTTTTGTATATATGCTTATAGTCGCTTCCACTGTTTATTTTTAGATTTTATCCAAGGGCAAAATCGTACACTTTGGCACCAAGGAGAAACTCCAAGATTCATCTTATCAAAGTATAAACATTCCAGTGACACAGAATATGGTCCCCTCAGCCCGACTCTTGGTCTATTACATTGTTACGGGAGAGCAGACTGCAGAATTAGTGTCTGACTCGGTCTGGTTGAATATTGAAAAAAAGTGTGGCAACCAGCTACAGGTGAGGCACAACTTACCCATCACGACTGAATGTGATCTCTATTTATTTAATAATTCAAAAATTAAATTCACTCTTTTATGTTTCCACTCACTTATCCATTCATTTTCTTCTAAATGAAGGAGGCTGTCAGAACAGCTGCTCCTGAACAAGTTTGGCTTATATGAATGATCTCTTCTTTTTCAATTGACTTTTTAGGTTCAGCTGTCTCCAGACGGAGGTGAATATTCTCCAGGACAAACTGTGTCTCTTAACATGGAAACTGAGTCCGACTCATGGGTGGCAGTATCAGCAGTGGACAGTGCCGTGTATGGAGTCCAAGGAAAAGCCAAAAAACCTATGCAAAGAGTTAAGTCCTGCAGTCTTGCAGCTGCTGTGGGATGGGGTACTCAGAGCAGTGCTTCACACAGTGTGGTCACCAGCACCAGTTATAGGTGAAGAATGAAGATAGCACTTGCTCGTTTTTCTATCATGTGCCCAGTTTAGTGGTTTGGGGGAAGGGAGACCATCTCATGTTAGCTCTCACACCACAGGTCCTTTCATTTATGTTTTTTCCAAATATGGATTTAAACTCTCAAAAATATAGGCCCATGCCAGCCATGGGTCAAATGTGTCATCATTTAGGAGAAGTTAAGGGTTTAGGGCAGGGGGGGGTGACAGTTACAGAGGCAGCAAGAGAAGACAGGAGAGACTGGGTAGGACATCTTTGGGTTTGTTTGTTTAAACTCTTATTAAAATCTGTGGTGCTGAAGAATTTGAAAATTACTCAATTTCCTGAGTTGCCATTTAATTCCACTACACTCAGCTACTATTTTCTAGGCTTGCATTTTCTTTGAGCAAGGAAAAAAAAAAACCTGAAAAACTAATGGTAAAAGCATTCTGACAGGAAAGGCTATTTGGGGTCAAAATTAAAACTGAAATAAGCCCTGTATTAAAATACTCCCCTACTAAGAACTTAAAATCCTCCCCTAAAATCATAAGAGACTGTGCTCTCTTTTTATTTAGCAATTTTAAAATTAACTTTGAAATTCATTCTTTTATGGTCACACTCATTTATCCATTCATTTGTTTATTACATCGATTGCAACATGTATTCTACGTAGAAAAAAAACACAAGTGTATCAGTCAGTTTTTTTATTGCTGATACAAAAGATCTGACACACACAACATAAAGGAGAAAAGGGTTATATTTGGTTCATGGTTGCAGAGGCTTCAGTCCATGTCCAGCTGGCTCCAAAGCAGAAGCACAGTGGCCGAAGGGGTTGGTGGAAAAAAGTTTCTCAACTCATGGCATCTTAGAAGCAGAGAGTGGAAGAAAAGCCAAGATAAAGGGGCCAGGGACCAGATATATTCCCCAAAGTCACACCTCTATGACCCACACAGACACATGCACAAGTGTGCTTCACTTGTCTCTTAGCATCTCCCGAGGCAATCAAGTAGACAATCAAGGTTAATAGGTCAGTTTCAAAGAATTTACTTTTTAATGGTGTTGCTTAAAATTTAGTTTTTGATTTCATATTGAGGAGGCATGTTTTTATAAATACAAGAGGACAAACTAAAGGAATGAAGTTGGGAAATTTGGTATTTGTCAATGGATGAATGAATGCCCTACTATAATCATGTAATGTCCAGTACCTTTCGTGTTTTGGAGAAATACTTACACAATATATGAACAAGCTTAACATTTTGCTTTTCTGGACAGGTTTTTCAAGCTTTTGAGAAGAGTGACCTGGGCTGTGGGGCAGGTGGTGGCCGTGACAATGCAGATGTATTCCATCTTGCTGGACTAACCTTTCTCACCAACGTAAATACAGATGAATCTCAAGAAAATGGTAAAATGCTCAACTTTTAAAAATTATTTTATGTTTATTAGGACATGTTTGCTGTACATGATTAAATTCATCAACATTTTTAAAACTGAACTTTGGCCAGGGGTATAGCTCAGCAGCACAGCGCCTGCCAGGCAAGTGCATTGTCCTGAGTTCGATTCCCGGTACAAAAAAAAAAAAAAAAACCTCTGAATTTTACATTGATTTCTGCCTTCCAGATGTCATTTTTCCCTCTTCCAGAATATTTTCTACACCATGACTGTGTAACACCCCTGTATGAAATGTTTTATTGACCTTAAAGATAAAGTACAAATTCTTTAATGTAGTACTCAGACCCTTTGTGATAGTCTCTCTGGTTCTTTCCAATTACTTCCCACTGCTCTTTCTTACTCTTCTGTAGTTCTTAGATAGCTCCCTCCTCTTTTATACCTTTGGAGCATTATGTATAGATTGCTTTCCCCTTTGCTAGCCTGAAGAAGCTAGGACAAGAACTGTCTCCTCCATGAGGCCTCTTCATCGTACAGTTGATCATCTGCCCCATGGCTTTAAAAGGGAGGATATTGTAGGGACCAAATCTGTTCATAAGCAGTACACCAGTAGTGCATTATTACACATTCTTACATTTAGCTATACACCTTGACTCATACTGGGAGCTCTTCAAGGGCAGAGGTCACATCTTAATCACTTTCTATGGTTTTAACGTTGTACTTAATTGTACATAATATTATGGCATTCAGGTTTACATCTATAATAACATAGCTCAAAGAGCAACTTTGGTCACTCCAAATGTTTAGGTACTTCTCTGTAATCAAAGGATCAATAGATTGCAAGAGTCAAAGCCAAATTTAAATAAAACAAATCAAACTATGTGATACCAAACCATGAGCTCCACTAGGACAAAGCAAGTCACATTAACATGGACAGTGGATAATGCCTAATCTAAAGCAGTTTCTTAATACAGACTTGTTGGATGAATGGCTTTTGAATTTTTTTCTTTTTTAGATTTTTTATTTTAAAAAGAAAAAATAAAAGTTTTTAAAACAGGTTAGTAGAAGAGTTATAATAATTAATACATTGCATATTGTTGTCTTCACAGTAATTATTCAGAGTATGAGATATAGTCATAATATCTTGTTCAAACAATATTAGCACAAGCTTTTCTTTTAAATGAACGAAGAGAAACTAGCTGTATAACTGCTAGATTTAAAATAGGTTAAAATACTCAACTATCTTGTGTAGAAATATGTATTTTTCCTTTTCTTCATTTCCCCTTTTCCCCATCACAGTTTGTCTTTTCTTTTGAACAGTTTCTTCCCAATTCACAATATCTGCTGTACATTTTGGATCTTATTTACTCATTCAGTTTCTCACACTAGTGAGACAATATGATGTTCACACAGAGGGATCTAATTTATTTCACTTGTGAGTATGGTATCAAGTTGCATCCATTTACCTAAGAAAGTTTCCATTTTATCCTTCTTTATGGTTGAGTAGTACTCCATTATACTAAAGAACCACATGTTTTTTACCCATTCCTCAGTTGATGGGCATTTGTGTTGTTTCTAATATTTAGATATTACAAATTGTGCTGCTATAAACATGGGTGCACCTATATTGCTCTGGTATGATGTTTTTAATTCTTCTGGGAAGATACCCAGAATGGGGAATAACTGGGTTGAATGCGAGCTCTAATGCTAGTTTTTAAAGGAATCTCCACACTGATTTCCACAGTGGTTGCACCGGTCCACACTCCCTCCAACAGTGGACAATGGTTCCTTTTTCCCCACAGCTTCGCCAGCATTTGTTATTGGTTGATTTTTTGATGGCAGCTGTTCTTTCTGGAGTAAGGTAGAATCTAAGTGTTGTTTTAATTTGCATTTCTTGAATGACTGATGATGCTGAACATTTTTTCATTATTTATTTACCATTTGTATTTTTTCCCCATGAGAAATGTGTATTTATCTCAGATGCCTATTTTTGGATTGAGTCTTTGAATTTGGGGGATCTGATTTTTTTTTCAATTTTTTTATACATTCTAGATAGAAGTGTTTTGTCTGAGGGACAACTGGCTATAATTCCTTCCCACTCTGTGAGTTTTCTTTTCACTCTGTTGATGATTTCTTTTGCTGTGCAAAAGCTTTTTAATAAGGTGAGATCCCATTTGTTCATTCTTTGTAATACTTCCCTTGCAGTCTGGGTTTTGTTCATGAAGTCTGCGCCCATACCTCTATCTTGAGATTTCTACCTATTTTCTCTTCCAGTAAGTTTAGCGTTTCTATTTTAATATTTAGATCTTTGATCCATTTTGACTTTAGTTCAGTGCATGTTGGTAAACATGGGTCCAGTTTTAGTCTTTTGCATGTGGAAAACCAGTTTTTCCAGCATCATTTATTAAAGAGGCATTCTTTCTTCTAGTGAACATGTTTAGCCCCTTCATCAAAGATAGGGTGGCTGAGTGTGTTTGGGATTGTGTCTGCATCTTCTAATGTATTCTGTTGATCTTCAGGCCTGTTTTTTTGCCAATACCATGCTGATTTTATCACAGTAGCTTTGTAGTCTAATTTCATGTCTGGGATTGTGATGCCTCCTGACTTGCCTTTATTGCCCAGAATTGCCTTTCCTATTCTAGGTCTCCTCTGGTTCCAAATGAATTTTAGAATCTCTAAATCTGGGAGGTATGCTAATGATATTTTGATTGGGATTGTAATAAATCTGTATAGCAGTTTTGGGAGTATGGCCATTTTCACTATGTTGGTTCTTCTTATCCAAGAGCAAGAGATATCTTTCCATTTTTTTATATTCTCTTTGATCTCCTTTTTTAAGGTACTGTAATTTTCACTGTACAGATCTTTTACATCCTCTGTTAGAACAATTCCTAAGTATTTCATCCTTTTAGATGCTGTTGTGAAGGGTGTGCTTTCCTTATTTTCTCTCTCTGTGACTTTTTTGCTTGTGTATAGAGTGCTATTGATTTTTTAGTATTGACTTTGTATCCTGCTACGCTACTCAATTTGGATATTAAATCTACAAGTTTCTTGGTGGAGTTTTGGAGTCTTCTATGAAGAGTATCATGTCATCTGCAAATAATGATAATTAAACTTCTTCCTTTCCCGTCTTTATTCCTTTTATTTTTTTCTTGTCTAATTGCTCTGGCTAATAGTTCCAGAACTATACTGAATATTCAATATAATTCATGGTAATGGACATCCTTGCCTTGTTCCTGATTTTAGAGTAAAAGCTTTCAGTTTTGACCATTAAATATGATGTTAGCAGTTGGTTGTCAGATAGCTTTTATAGGACTGAGATAAAGATCATCTATTCCAATTTTCTATAAGGTTTTTATCATCAATGGATGTTAAACTTTGTCAAATGCTCTTTCTGCATCTATTGAGATGATGATGTGATTTTTATCTATAGTTCTGTTAATATGGTGTATTACATTTATTGATTTGCATGTGTTGAACCATCCCTGTATCCCTGAGATGAATCCTACTTGGTCGTGATGTATAATTTTCTTGATGATTTTCTGCATTGTGTTTGCCAGTATTTTATTAAGGATTTTTGCATCTATGTTCATTAAGGAGATGGACCTATAGTGTTTTTTGGTTGCATTCTTCTCTGGTTTTGGAATCAGGGTAATATTTGCTTCCATCAATGATTTTGGAAGTATCACTTCCCTTTCAATTTCTTTAAAGAGTTTCAGAATTAGTGGCATTAGTTCTCTAAATTTCTTGAAGAATTCAACAGTAAATCTGTCAAGGCCTGGGCTTTTCTTTGTTGGTAAAATTTTAATTGCATTTTCAATTTCATTGACTAATATCATGTTATTTAGAATTTTCATATCTTCTTGGTTTAGTTTTGACAGTTTGTTTGTGACTAGTAATCTGTCCATTTTTTCTGTGTTTTCCATCTTATTAGAATATAGGTTCTCAAAGTAAGTATTGATAATCTCCTGGATTTCTTTGGGATCCATTGTGATTTCCCCTTTTTCATTCCTAACTGCTTGAATTTGTGTTTGTTTTTCCTCTTATTGATGAGGTTAGCTAATGGTTTATCAATTTTATTTATTCTTTCAAAGAACTAACTTTTTGATTCATTGATTCTTTGTATTATTTTCTTAGTCTCTATTGCATTAATTTCTACTCTCATCTTTATAATTTCCTCCCTCATAAAGCTTTGGGTTTTATTTGTTCTTTTTCTAGAATTTTGAGGTTCAACATTAGGTTGTTTATTTGAGCTCATTCTGTTTTCCTGATGTGTGAGTTCATTGCTATAAATTTCCCTTATAGAACTTCCTTCATTAATTCCTATTTTGGTATGTTGTATTGGCATTATAGTTTAATTGTATATGCTGTTTAATTTTGTCTTTAATTTCCTATGTAATCCACTAGTTTTTCTGAAAGGTGTTGTTTGATTTCCATGTGTTAATATAGTTTTTGTGATTGTCTTTGTCACTGATTTCCAGTTTCAATGCACTGTAGTCAGACAGTATGTATGGGATTATTTCAGTTCCTCTACATTTACTTAAACATGTTTTGTCAGTTAATATACGGTCTATTTTGGAGAACGTTCCATGTGCAACTGAGAAGAATGTGTATTCTGATGTTTTGGGGTGGAACACTCTGTAGACATCTGCCAAGTTCATTTGTTCACAGGCTTGGTTTAATTCTAATATTTCTTTGTTGATTTTTTTTTGTTTAGTTGATCTATCCATTTGTGAGAGTGGGGTATTAAGATCCCCCACTACAACTGTATTGGTGCTTATTTGGATTTTTATATCTGTTAATATTTGTTTTATATAGTTGGGTGAGCGTGTGTTTGGTGCATAAATATTTATGATTGCTATGTCTTCTTCTGGGAGTTTTCCTTTAAGAAGTATGTAGTGGCCTTCTTTATCTCTTTTGATCAGTTTTGGCTTAAAGTTTACAATGACTGCAAATAGAAAACATACCCTTGCTTTTTTCTGGGTTCCTGTGACATGGGTAATCATTATCCATCCTTTGACTTTTAGTCTATGAATTTCTTTTTAGGTTAAATGTGTTTCTTAAATGCAGCATATTGTTGGATCTTGCTTCTTGATCCATTCTGCCAGTCTCTTTTGATTGGTGAGTTGAGACCATTTACATTGCTGGTTATAACTGATGTGTACTGGCTTTTCTTCTTCATGTCATTTTTACTATGTTTTGCTATGTTCTTTCTACTATGTTCTTCAGAGCATTTTGTAGAGCTAGTTTGGTTATCATAACTTTCATCAATTGTTCTTTGCCACAGAATTATCTTCTTTCTCCATCAATTTTGAAACATAGTTTTGTTGGGTACATCAATCTGGGTTGAAGATTGTTATACTTTAAGGCTTAGGATACCTTACTCCAAGCTCTCCTTGATTTGAGGGCTTGTGTTGAGAAGTCTGCTGTGATTTTGGTGGACTTTCCTTTATAGGTAATATGTTTCTTTTCTCTGGAGTTTTTTTCTGTACCAGGAATGAAACTCAGGACCTTATGCTTGCCAGGCAGGCACTGTGCCACTGAGCTTCTCTGTCTTGTCATCTTCTATTTTATTTTGTTTTCTATGTTGATGCTTGTCAGTTTCTTATGTTAAAAAGCCTTATCACTGGTGTCAAGGTTTCCTTAGATGTCTGTTCCTCTGGATGTCTTCTAGATGTAGGTGGTTCTTGGCCTTTATGTCTATTCCAAGAACATACCTTCCCAAAATATTAAGTCTGAGGAGTTGCTATCAATTTGACTTAGGGCCCATTCTTTTGCTACTGGACTATGGTGATAGTTATGACTCCTTACAATTGCAGTGTTGTAATACAGGGGCTAAAAACTGGTTATAGCATGTATGACATCCTGGTTACAGTAGTTCAGTTGGCAATAACAATAGACTCAAGTACAGCCTGACTACTGACAAACTATGGTAACTATTAGCCTGATATCTATAATCATAGGAAGAAGGTGTACAGAAATATAATACAATCCAATTTATACCAGGAAATTGTATGCAGTGACTTTCCACTTAGCAGAGTGATTTTACCCTGTTGTGTGTATGTGAGGGGGGTCAGGAGGATAGGGGGTAGGGTGGAGAGATGAATGAGGTTAAATATAGTAGGAGCAAGGTTGGCGGGCACAGGATGATCTTCCATGTTTTAGGTAACTGTAGGACACAGAAGGGAAGGGTTGTAAGAGAAGGCCTAGGAGTTTTGAAGTGAATCAGAAAGAGAAAAAACAATGTTTACTCACATAAAGTATCATAAAGGGAAGAAAGATAGCTGACTAAAGAGAAGAAGAAGATGAGTAGAATAAAACAAAAGGAAAGGTTAGAGATCACCTGCTGGCTCATATTGCTAATGTTGCATGGGATATTTCCACATCTCTAGTTCCACCTGCCTATCATGTGTGCCTTAGCCAGGGTCCTACTGTTTTGCTGGTGTTCCTGCAAGTCTTCAGGCCCTTAGTCCAACCAGTGGAAGAAGAGAGGGGTGGATCTCAGACTTCTGTCACTGGCCGCACTGGCCTGGGTCCTCTGAATGTTTTAAATACTTAATTTCATGGAACTTTTTTAGATTTGGGGGGAGGGTACTGGGAATTGAACTCAGGACCTCATGCTTTCCAGGCAGGTGCTGTGCCACTGAACTAAATCCTGGCCCTCTTTTTTAGATTTTTATCTACTTCTTTCTTTTTCTTTGTCTCTATTTTTTAAACAGATAAAACTTGTAAAGAAATTCTCAGGCTAAGAAGAAGTCTGCAAGAGAAAATACAAGAACAAGGTACTCTCAAGGTTTCATGTGATTGTTAAAAGGTTATGAACATATCATACAAAAGTTACAGCAAATGAAACATTGTATAAGTTCCCCTAATTAAAACAGAAGAGATGAGAAGAAAGATAGGTGTGATACTCTAGCTCAGCTCCCTCAGAAGCAAATAAACCCAGTAGTTCACTCACCATAGACTTAATCTGAGGTAAACAGGTCTTTATTATGTCTGTCTCTAAAATCTAAAATATTAACTTTTATTTGACACAAGTATTTCCTCTCTACAAACTTCCTGTAGTAATTAAAATAAAAATCTTCCATTTTATTCCGACAAAATTCATGATTTAATTAACTTCAGGGAATACTAGGATTGATTTCCTCTATTTACTATATTTAACATTTAATAGCATTATGGATTATTTTTTGAGATAAATCTAATGCAAATTATTTAATTATTGATAATTGGCCAATAGAAACAAGCACCAAATCTTGGACTCTATGTCCTGAGTTCAGGCAGTAATCATGCTTATGGTAATATAATAATTTCTTCTATTTGTATAAGAATTTATGTAATTCTAACCTTTGTTCTATACTCTCCTGAGATGAAAAGGAAGAGACTGATTAATCTGAGCACTTACAATGAAGAATGATACCACTAACGCAGGTCTGCAAGCTATATCTTATAAGAAATGTTTGAAAAAACAGGATATTTAGCATGAAGAGGGAAAGTCTATGTAGCGATGAGAAGCATCTTCAAATACCTGAAAGCTTCTTGGACATTTAACTTATTTTACTCAAAGGATTCTGCACTTAAAGTGTCAGTTTGAAACGAAAGTATATAGCTTAGTTGCAAGAAGCTGTTTATCATTTAGTGTGAATTGGAATGGAGTACATGGTGAGGTAGGTCATATGCTTTTATTCCTAGAGTAGTTCTAAGAAGAGGAGGGTCAGTCAACTATGGGGATTGTAGATAAGGTCATCATTTGTCAGTAGAAACCAAGTATCCTTTGTGATTCCTCCTAAACCTAAGATATTATGACTCTATGCGTGATCAAGGCACACATATTCCCCTTTCAGCTGCTAAATACAAGCATGCGGTGCCGAGGAAATGTTGTTATGATGGAGCCCGTCGTAATGACTATGAAACCTGCGAGCAGCGAGTTGCGCGGATCACCATCGGTCCGTACTGTATCCGAGCTTTCAATGAGTGTTGTATCCTTGCAACCAAGCTCCGAGCTGAACACACACATAAACCTAACCAACTGGGAAGGTTACGTAAGTATTACATCTTTTATCAGACTTCTGGCCAATGTGAAGAGTTTTGTTTCATTTTTCCACTGCTAAGAAAGGCAGTTTTTAATGCAAGTTAAAATTGATGGTAGAAAATATACATTGTAAATGCCCATAAGAAAAATCTGTTAGTCTTTTGGGGGAATTTGAATAGGTATTATGCAGAGCAAAGGATACTAGCCCAGAGACAAGACCTAGTGTGAATTTAAAGCAGATTCGGTGTATAAACTCAAGTGAATATTTATCCTTCCTGAGCCTCAAGCAAGAAGCTTAGACCAGACAACTCTGGAATGCCTTTGAGTTTTAGCATGCTATGGTTCTGTGATATTACAACCACTAAAAATTCTGGTTTTGTTTTTTGTTTTTTTTTTCCGGTACCGGCAATCAAACTCACGACCTCGCCCTTGCCAGGCAGGCGCTGTGCTGCTGAGCTAAACCCCCAGCCCTTAAAAATTCTGGTTATACCTACACTAAGTAAATACAGCAAAAGACTTCTAAATCTACCATAAAATTGAATGTACTTATCATGAAAGTTAAAATTTTATATCAGTTTTAGCTACAGTATGTTTTTAGAACTTGGAGAATTCTCGCTAATATGTTTTCAGAGCCTTTGGGACTTACGTTTTGTATGTTCAGGAAAATAAACAAAAGCAGCCAGTATTTTAAAAAAGAAACACAAGCAAAATAAGAGCCCCTGTTTTTACTCTGTTTTGTTAAACCATGTATGTTAAACATCATCTCAAATGGATGGGTGAAGAAAATATATTTACACAATGGTATGCTAGTCTGTCTTAAAGATAGGTACAGTTGGAGTCATTTGTGGGAAAGGTGATGCACCTTGATTCCATAATGTTAAATGAGATAAATCAGTCACATAATCTTAAATATTGCCTGTTTTCTCTTATCTAAGAAACCCAATATATAAAGAGAGAGCAAAATAAAAGATGCTAAGTTGGGAGATAGATGTTTCTCAAATAGGAAGGAGATCTGGAGATAGAGGGAGAGGGAAAGGGGATGAAAAAATGAATTAATACGTGTTATGTATATCAACCAGCTTCACACAAGGAATGTCAATATTATGTCCTGCAAATATGTACTGATAGGGGGCTGGGGATTTAGCTCAGTGGCACAGTACCTGCCTGGCAAGCACAAGGTCATGAGTTTGATTCCCAATACTGGAAAAAAACAAAACAAAACAAAATATGTACTGATAAAAAAGTGTACAAACTAAAAGCCACATGGATACATTTGTATAAGCCTAAATGTTATTATGGTCTCTTACCAACCAGGTTATTATGAATATTTAGGTTATTTCCCATTTTTTAAAAAAATATGGACTCTTCAAAGAATTTGTGTATCATCCTTAGGAGCTATGCTAACATTCTCTGTATCATTCCAATTTTAGTATATGTGCTGTCAAAGCAAGCACTTGTTTCCCAGTTTTTACCTGGTACAAGCAGCATTTGGATGAACAATGTAGTGCATATATGTTTTCAATACCCATTTTTTCAGGTACAATCATCTGGTTTCAGCTGCTCAGAGCTTCTCTCTGTAACCCTGCCCCTCATTCGGGATGGTGTGGCCTCCCCAAGCCCCCATCTGTACTACCACAAGTCATCAAGACCACCAGGCTCTGTGTAGACTGTTCTGGCCTGTAACCTCCTCCAGCAGTAGACTGGGACAATTTTAGGGCTCCCCTTGGATCACAGTCCAGTGTTGCTTATGCTCCAATGTCTGAGTATTGGTTTGATTTCGTTTGGTTTGATCTCTCTTCTGGCACTGAGGATTGAACACATGACTTTGTGCGTTCTAAGCAAATGCTCTGCAACTGAACTTCATTCCCCAGCCCAGGTAGCTGAGATTACAGGAGTGCACCACTGCATTCAACCTAAAAACTCTTACTTTATATATTGTGCTTAGCTTTCTAGATTTTTTTAAGGCTGAGGATAAATGCAGTCCTTATTAGAACATCTTGAGTGGAAGCAGAAGTTCTATCCATTTTTATTAAAATAAATACAAATAAGTGATCAATTTAAGGCAGGCTATCACATAAAACTTCCTTGTTTTCTAATATAAACACAATTATTAAAACCATACAAGTGCAAATAATTCCACAGACTGGTCACTATCTCGTAGAACCTCAAGAACACTAAAAATTTAACACTTTAAGAAACAAATCATTTCACATATTTTATGCTTTGCTTTACCAGTCCTATTAGTAAAGAAATTGCAAGGTCTTCATAGTTCTATTTTGAAAGCAATAAACACAATGTTTCACTGACCTTTCAGAAAACATTTAAATTATAGATTAATAGCTATTCTTTAAATTTCATGTATAAGTAGATTTTATGTTATTTTTTCCATAATTGAATGTTTTCTTTTCTCCCCCCAGATATAAAGACCCTATTACCAGTAACCAAGCCAGAAATTCGGAGTTACTTTCCAGAAACCTGGTTATGGGAAGTTCACCGTGTTCCCACAAGGTATTACAACTTCTTTGACGTTTCCCTGAAAAAAATGTGGAAAATGCAAATATTATGGCCAAAAATCTGGATGCTTTATTTCCCTACAGTTTGCTTAACAGTTAAGATATTTAAAAGTTAAAGCTTAATCAAATATTGCTTTGTTTTGCATCATAATTTTGTTTTTTAATGTGCTTTGCTTTGGAAATTGGTTCCAGGGCAGCATTAATTATTGGTAAATAGCAGTACTATTCTTTTTTTATTTTAAAGAGAGTAGTAAAAGAAAAAAAAAAGAACAGTAGCAGCATACCAACATCACAAACATAAACAAAACAAAGCAAGAACATTAAAAGTGATACAGGGCTTCAAAACAAACTGATAGGAATTAACAGTGGTTGTTTTATTACATATTGTTATCTTCAACTACGTTGCTCAAATTACCAGATGTAAGAATGGAAGATTGCTCAAACCATTAAAGAGAATTAAAAAAAATTATTAGGTAAAACATTAGAGATAATACAGAGTTTCACTAGACAAGATGGTAGGAATTCACCAATGGTTGTTCCATTGCATATTGTTGTCTTCAAATCAGTTGCTCAGACTATCAGATATAAGCATGCAAAATTGGTCTGAACATAAAAAATTTTAAGCATTAACTGTTCCTTTCAATATAACATCAGACATTAGCAGTACAGTTATTATACATATATGTGTGTATATATATATATATAGCCTTCCTTAATTCTTTTTTTTTCTTTCCCTCTTCCCAGTTGTTCCTTCCTTTGAGCAATTTCTTTCTATTTCATATTATCCATTGTATGTTTTGAGTTTTACTTGCTCTTTCAGGTTCCTACACCAGGGAGACAATATAATGTTTACACATGTGGATCCAATTTATTACACTTACAAGTATGGTCTCTAGTTGCATGCATTTGCCTACAAAAGCCTTGAGTTGTTTGTTTTATTTTTATAGCTGAGTAATACTCCATTGTATAAAAGCACCACATCTTTTTTATCCATTCCTCAGGTAATGGGCATTTGGGTTGTTTCCAAGATTTAGCTATAACAAATTGTGCTGGCTGCTATAAACATGGGTGCACATATATCGCGGTGGTATGATGT